TTCTTGTGTCCCTCAAACATCACTCCTCCCGTGAGGCTCTGTCCTCCCACTGGTCACTGCCCCCAAGTCCTGCTTTGATGCCTTCTGGACCCTGCACGCTTTGCCTTTGGAGTTGGCTCTGAAGCCCAGGTGCTCATAGGTGGGAATCGGTGGCCGATCCGCGGTGTCCTCATTGTGCTTCACCAGTGCCTCATGCACGGCCTCCAGCCCGTTGACCACGACCACAGGACTCCAGGCCAGCTGCAGGCTGAAAACGTCCCCAAAGCGACTTCGCAGCTACATGTGAAAGTCAGGGCTCTTGTCAGGATGGGAACCCCGGGGCTGGGAAGATAGCTCAGCAGAATAAGTGCTTCCCTTGCAAGCTCAAGGGTCTGAGCTCAATCCCCGTTTTCCCCCAAAGCAAACAAAAAGAATGGGAACCCCAAGATCACACAGAGCAAGGAATGCTCTTGCCGTCCTTTGCTTTTCAGTTGTGTGCGTGTAGCTCCTGGTCTCGCCCAGGAAGGCTGGGCCCACTAAGACCAAAGATCTCGTGGTGGCTTCTCTGAACCTCAGTTTCCTACCTGAGGGCTACGCTGGGCCCTGGCTCCACTCCCGAGCCCAGAACCTTCCTCTGATGTCATCAAGAAATACCCGGTACTCATATAACTTTTGCTCTGTCTGTATCCTCTCACGGACGGTCCCACTCCTCGTGTGTCCCTCAAAAGCCCACAGTATCCCACTCCTCTAGTTTCCATCTGCAGGGATCCTTGGTGCCTGCTTTTTCTTCATGTCCTAAGTCCCTGTCTAGCCTGCTGTTTTCTCCACCAGCCACTATCTGCACCTGGGGTCACTGTGATGTCTCCCATAGGCACCTCCAGCCCCCCACCTTGTAGAAGGAGTACGCCGCATTGTGGAAGTCCACCTGCAGGAGGTTGCCCAGCCCGGGCACTGGCAGGGGACCAGGTGGGTAGCGAGCAGCCCAGCATTGGCGCCGGTGCATCAGGTCCACGAGGAGCAGGAAGAGGACCACAGCTACAGCAAGAGAGAACAGTGCATCCCCAGGCAGCAGGCCCATGGTGGCCTTGCAGAAACTGGAGTCCTCTGGACAGTAGGAAGGTATCACCACTCGTGTCCCAGGACCGGGCAGCACACCACCACACTGAACTGTGGAGCAAATCCGATGAGGGCTTATATAAGACCTGAGGCTGGCCTTTGTCCTCCTGGGGGAGCCAACTGCTCTGGTGACTGTGTGGCGGTAGGGTGCAGCAGGGTGCAAAGTCCGGGCACTGCAGTCCCTAACGTCTCCACTTCTGCCTGAGATCCCAAAGGAGGGGGAGCAGGGCCCCAACAGGACAGCCAGGGGAGAACACAGGTCCTGCTGTGCTGGGACCACCTTGTGGCACCAAGGTGAGGTGACACAGGCATCCCTGCTCCAAGTGTTTGTCCACGGGGATGTAGAGAGCTTTCAGAACCCACAGGCTGAGG